TATTTGAAATTATAAGACAATTAAATAAAAAAGATTGCAGAGAAATAATATATGTATGAGGAAGCAAAGGATGCTTTTTTTCGAACTCTGTAATAAAAATAAAGACGATTCGATGAAACCGATCGAAATGTAATATGCCGGCCATCAGGTTGGATTGTTATCAAAAAATTAACTTATGTACTGCCATAAAATCGTTAACCTCATCTCAAAGGCCACTCGGGAAACGTAAAATTACGAAGGATATGTATTCTGCACCACATACATGTGACTTGCGCTTTACCAAAAGTATGGTCCCTGTTCTACACTGATTCGCCTTGAAGGGAGTGCAGGCCCAGGCGTGACTGCACTGAAAATAAGGCGATTTTAAATGCTAATTGCAACTTTGCATAATCGATATTGGCGGTGCGAGCGAATTTTCACCTACAGTGATATGTATTAGTCCCGCCTCCCTTTCTCGCACTCTAATAGGTTGCTCTGGCCTTCGTTAAGCCCATTCGGAATCCTCTGTATTCAGCCAACGAGACCCCCAGTTTAGCGTCATTCGCGTGCCTATCCCCTGTAAATACAAGACTCGCGAACTAGTTACCGGTGATACACGGGATATTCGGAATCCTCCTTGTCGAGTTTACCGTACATTTTGATCGATCACATTTCACGCGTGATACGGTACATTATAATATCACGTAGGCGAATTCCGGGTTTTAAAATCATACTTTTTTTTCAACTGTTTTAAACAGTCAACACCATTTTTTACATATTTTGTTCACTAAAAAATCGACAGTTTGGTTTCATCGATAGTTTGGGCTGAAGATTTTTTTTTAAATCCCAATAATTAAGTCCTACAATAACATCTAATGAAAGCCATCCACTGTAATAATATAAGTGCAATGCTATTAGGCTTGGGTTCTACGATTTCTACCGGAATAGCATTATAATACAAGAATATGACAATAAAATCCATTGGATAATCTTTGCAATACTTCAATCAATACCTTGATACTTAGTTCTTTTTTTTTTTTGTAACGTATTGAAAGTAACGATTTTTTAAATTTAGATTCACTCAACACCACCTAAATTACCCGCTACCACTATGGACTGAGGTATTTTGTACTCCAGGGAATTATTTACTATTTTCAATTTAATCTTCGTTGTGCAATAATTTCTTAATACCACATGGTAAAGATTAGTCTTTGAGTGGTAAACAAAATGTTCAAACAGTAGTTCAAAAATTGTTTTTCATCAGTGAACCTATATCCGCTCACCTCTTGATCTACAATTCAACTAAGCCCCGTATTATTCGTGCACATCAAAGAACGCCTATTCCCATCTTTGGAGAAAAAAGCAAGATGAATGTGGAGCGAAAAGGAAAAGCTTGGCTTTTGTTCGGGATGCTCGGTGGGATTTTTTTGGGGGAAAAAAGGGTCTACGACTCGGCTGAAAGGAATATTGTGTTGCTGAATTCCACCGAATACCCTATTAAACCCAGTGACTACGTGTGTGTGTGCGCCTTGTATTTATCTCTTTTTTTTTATGTACAATACGTTGGCCGTCAGTGTAAGACCGAAATCCAACTTGACTACTTGCCAGATCGAAAGAGAGTCGGCTCGGATGGTGAAAAGGGTCGGCCGGTATAATGTGAATGAACGGATGTGGCGGACAAACAAGTTGGCTATACCTTATACTGGTGCGATCGATTTTAACTCCTTCATTTTTGCTCTATTTTGTGATGTCTTTGTTTCATTCTTGGCACACGGTTTTGTATCCATCAACGTAACATCGGTTCGTGGTTTTTTTAATAGAATTTATTTGTAATAGAACTTATTCTTGATCGAAAAAATCGTCTTTTGGACAATTCAATTGTTTAAAACGTTGATGGATCACTAGTGAATTGAGCCTATTTATTTGAGATAATGTGATTTTTTAAGCTCGGAAGATTAAAAAATACTTGAATGTTTATAATTTTATAGATTATGCAGATTTTTTTTTAATTCTTGTTTCAAGAATATACATGGTCTAATTTAACAGCATACTTTGAAGGTATTTAAAAGTGAGATGATATGAGATTAAGAAGCGTGAAAAGAGTGGGATGTACGTGCTTGCGCTTAAGAAAACAATAAAAATAAATTAGGGAGCAAACTAAATTTTTCCCTTACAACATAGTATTTTAGTATTATTTACTACATCACGTCAAAGATATAAATAATAGACAAGGTGCGTTAGTAATTTTAAGAAACCATAAAACGTTAATTCATATGTGTTATTATTTTATTGTCCTCTCCATGCAATCATACTATACCTGTCAACTTGTAGTGTAACTTTACTTCCTCGTAACTTTAATCAAATAAAGTTTTTTAGAGATTAAACAATTAACTCTCGATTATATTTATGTGATAAATTTATTTGATTTTATTTCATTATTGATTAAATCTCCTGTAAGTTGAAAGATCTACTATGAATGTATTCAATGATGACGATTAATTCTCAGAATTTCAGAAATTTCTCAGGTAGGGGCATCATTATTTTTATATCGTGTAACAGCTTGTCAGTTACCAGTCATTTCTTGGGATTCTACAAGTTAATGGCATCAAGTAATACATTACTCGTCTACTCTCAGTATTTCAGGTGATAAAATTTCAGATCATCATGCTGAATAGAAAAGTTTTTAAAACTTTGAGAGGAGTTAAGAATATTATTATAACACAGTAAACAATTTCTACAAAATCACTTTTGATTCTGTCTTAAATTATAGGTATGACTCAATAACTACCTTTGAATTATAAACTGTAATTAATAACCTATTTATATCAACCAAGAAAGTTAATATGTTAATTATCTAATGAAGCGAACAAGTCATCATTAAAGTTCTTTAATGTATTATCTATGTACAATCGAAGAAATTATTAAAATTTTGACGATATCGTTTTTTGTAGTTAAGATATTCGCAAAAAAAAAAAAAACAGTCAAAAAATCATACTTTTTGAAACTCTATTTCCTTCATGAAAATATAAAAAAATTATCATGTCAACGATGAATTCGTAAACTAGACGTCACAATGAAAAAATTAGCTTCAAAAATGTTATTTTTTAAAATCGGGAACTGGATGAGATCGAATTAAATATTTGATACTTTTTATTAAGTAAATGTATTTTCTCGAAAAGTACATTTTTTTCTTTTAAATTATGGTAAGTTACCACTAACAAGAGATATATTTTTACCAAATTTCATGAGTCAAAAAAAATTAGTGAGACAATCAAAAAATCAGTTTTCAATTTTTTCGGCAATTCACTTTCATTGTTTTAAACAATTATTGACTAATTGTACGATGCGAGTATCAAATTAACTGTCTTTATATTATTAACAAAACTTGTAATGTCAATAATGGTTATTGTCGATTGTCTTAGATTTATACTTAAAAAACCTGATTTTTCTCCATTAGTTTTTGTTTTTCCATAAAAACGTTGATAATAATTTCATAACACATCATATGATGTACCACTGTCGTCTATCTTTTTTTTTTTATTTTTTTTTTTTTTATTGAATCTCTGATTAAATGTACCATAAAAAACTCCGACTGCCATTAACATAATTATACAGCATACCACATTCGTTTCCTAATAGTAACAAAAACGCACTGCTTTGCCTGCATTTCAAGAATTTGTATGATTCGGGTTGTGTTAAAATAACATTCGCGCGTATATTTTATTCCACCGAAACCGCGAGCGAATGACGCATATACCACGTTGTAAAAAAAACCAACGCGTTCACGCGCGCTTCCCGGCACGACCGCACACGATGGGCGCTCCCAAAAACATCGACAACGTATAGTGAAGTAAATAACACCACCTCGTGTGCTCAACTGCAGTATGAGTTAATGCAACTTCCTGCATTATGTCGAATGGTTTTCAAGTCGATACCCGTAAGACTACCCCGTGTAAGATAACGCAAAATTAATTTTAAAAAATTACAGGTGACGGTGCATTTGAGTCAGTGACGAGGAAAAACATCTGCTTGCCTTTTTGAATGTTGTCGACTGTTACAAAAACTATCGCAGCATGTCGTTGATATGGCGATGACTAAACTTGATCATTTTCTAATACCTTATACATGTATAAGCATCAATGAGCAAACGTTGTGGAATTCATTGCCAAAATTATCAACCCCATGCATATATACATGCGTGCAGAGACACGATTTTTCGCATGACTTGCTTGTGATAATGGTGTAGGAGTCGCCATAGGTACATTGTATGCGTGGAGTGAGCGAAGTAGAATTGACTGTTTGTCACTGATAACATTAAATGTGTGTATTCCATGGCAGGTCGACACTGGCTGCATGAGGGGGGCGGGGGGGGGGTGGATCGACTATTCACACATAGCGCGCTTCTGCCCCCATTGGAATGGTTGTACGAGCACGAGATGAGGCTCTGTTTGTTTGAAAGACGCCCGGGTCGTGGGGACTGTGTTTGGAATGTGTACATAATATGCTTGCTGACGATACCTCATACATACTGCCGTGATGGACGTTTGTAGCTTTGTTGTGCGTATATACTGTTTTGGCTGCAGGGAGAAAACAGATAACATTGAGTTGGAATTTCGTTTGTTGACGTCACCAACACAATGCCATAAAAGTTTAATTTCTCAGAATTTTGGTGTCTGCTCGATGGAAATTCATGATTTAACAAGGTTATTAATAAAACGATGATAGTTAGTTTTGTGCAATACGTATTTTCAATGTTTTTACAGGATTTCATCATTAGCAATATTATCTGGAGAGTCATAGAGGAGCTAGACCTTTTGTAGAGGTATATAATTTAATTCAAAACTGAACTGACAACTCAGCCCCCTTTGGTCATAAACAACAAAAAATTTTTTTTATGAACAATCTACTTTTATTTTTGGCAACTCCTATCTGGAAGAAACAAGAGACAGAAGTATTGGAAGTAATACTTTAAGAACAACTTGATGAAAATAAATAAATTTATTGTAAAGTTTACTCGCAAGCACAATAATACAGACAACATTACTAATAGGTAAATATGTATAAGTACTGAAGATCTTGACTGATTTTCCAAAAATTTATATATCTCCAATTGATATAGATATATGAGTTAATGATAGAAAAAAAATTTTTTTATAACAAAAATGGGAAAGATACAAATATAGGCATTTTAAACAAAATAAAGCAAATTATTCATACGAGAACGCAAGTCCAAAAATGAGTCACATTTATCATTTTGATATTTATATTATGTTCGGTATGTTTAATATCAGGGAATTTCCAAATTCCTGTAGATCTGCACTGTTTATACAAAATTTTCCGTATCTTCAATTGAATGTATGACAAAAAAAAAAATTTTCAAACGAGGAACGTTACATTCAACAATTAATTTATTGTATATTACGCACGCCGAGAGCGAGGTTTCGAATGTTTTAGATTTCACGTGAATGAACACCCGAAGCAAAGCCGTCATCGAAAGGGAGCAGGGAAAATGGCCTGGGCAACTCTCACACTACACTCAAACTCGCCTCGGGAAACTTGGTGACTCACGTTCTACGTACACTGCAGCTGCTTTCTCGCACTACACCCGGGGTACACTCGCAGCCTTCCTCAAGGACGACATGGAATTTTCACACACAACGACGTCACTCACTGCACCCTCCACGTGAACTCTCTTACCATACTCAGCTGCTTACGTTCACCCTCACCATGGCTTGGCTCTATTGTTTCTTCTGATCACTTTTTCTGTTTTTCATCGACACTTAATTTTCTCACACGCTAGGGCTTCGTTTCCGGAGACTGAAAATCTATGACCATCGACGAACGATTACCACACTCACGTAGTAAATAATGACACCCCATGTTGCTCCATTTAACTTCTTAATGATCTATAAGGTAACTTAAGTGTTATAAATTATTATTACCTGAACAATATAAACAGTATTTTCATGGAATGATTAAGAAGAATTCCGATACGTTTGAACAAATATGTAGTCCTGAGAAGGACTGTTTGTTAAATAAAAATTCAGATCTACGAGCTTTTCTCGGTTTTCTTGGGCAAGAGTACGGCCTGGATGTTGGGCAAGACACCACCTTGGGCGATTGTTACTCCAGAGAGCAGCTTGTTCAATTCTTCGTCATTGCGGATGGCTAGTTGGAGATGACGAGGGATGATTCTGGTCTTCTTGTTGTCACGAGCTGCGTTGCCAGCTAACTCGAGAACTTCAGCGGCCAGGTACTCCATGACGGCGGCCAAGTACACAGGCGCACCGGCACCCACTCGTTCGGCATAATTACCTTTACGCAATAGACGATGGATACGTCCAACGGGGAACTGGAGTCCAGCACGAGTCGAACGGGTCTTGGACTTTCCCTTGACCTTGCCACCACCTTTGCCACGTCCAGACATGATTCGAGTTGAGGTTGTAAACTTGAAAATCAACGACTAACTGTGCTGCACAGTTACTGTATAACCTCGAAGCAGCCGAGAGCCCCCTTATATATGCCTTCCAGCTGCTCTCCCGAAGCATGCCCCTACTCTTCGAGAACGGGAAAAACAGCTGCACGAAACAAAGCCATTGTACAGAGAGACTCGCCGCTGCCGCCTCGTGGCTCTGAAAAGGTAGGGATGGATTTCGGAGAGAACGTTCCAACGCTCATAAAAGGAGAGTCGAAACTGTGCACGAGCATACTGTCTCTTTGACCTGCCCTTTAGGACGTCGATACATCCAACGCATCATCATGCCACCCAAAGCATCTGGCAAAGCCGTGAAGAAGGCAGGAAAAGCCGTGAAGAACATCACCAAGGGTGACAAGAAAAAGAAGCACAAGAAGAGGAAGGAGAGCTATGCTATCTACATCTACAAGGTGTTGAAGCAAGTCCACCCCGACACTGGTGTCTCTTCCAAGGCGATGAGCATCATGAACAGCTTCGTCAATGACATCTTCGAGCGTATCGCCTCCGAGGCTTCTCGCCTGGCCCATTACAACAAGAGGTCCACCATCACCTCCCGGGAAATTCAGACAGCCGTGAGGCTCTTACTGCCTGGTGAATTGGCTAAGCACGCCGTTTCTGAAGGAACCAAGGCAGTGACCAAGTACACCAGCTCCAAGTAAATCGTATCAATCGGCCCTTCTCAGGGCCACAAAATATTACGATGTAAACTACTGCTGCCATTAGATATATTAGACCCCTCGCCTAACAAAACAATCCCCATGCGTAAACATAAAAATAAACCCTTCTCTCAAATAGGATGAAGAAATCAAGAAGGATATGAGAAGAGAGAAGAAAGAAGAGAAAGGATCAAGAAAAACAGTGTATAGTGTAAAGTGAAGTGTAATTATACTTTCTAAAAAGACTGTAGGATTAAAGATTTAATTTATTTAATTGCAGTGGTTATATGGATAGTATATTTTTTTTTTTGTTTTTTTAAAGTTTCTAATATTATATAAAAGAAAAAGTGACTAATTGTTTCAGTATTATTAATAGATTTCATTTTATTTCATTTATAGTTAAATTTGAACATAAATATTAATATGAATTTCAAATTAGCAAATTATCTTTGAAAAGTTTTTTTTTGTTAAAATTTATTATATGTTTTTGTTTACTTACTAATAAGAATAGGTTATGTAACTTGAAAATCATGAATGAAAATGTTAAACATATGTAAAAGTAATGTGCAAAGATAACGATAAGAAATGTAACGGAAGTCCTCCAAACCCGAAAGGGACGGAGTATGAAATAAATAATAAATAATAAATAAAATTAACCCTTCTCACATTGGCATTTTTCTCGTTTAACCTTGTAGAGCGAGCGCCCCTTGCATCCTTTGGAGAGCGAGTTAGTTACCGATTTTTTTCTTGTCTTTCCTATTCATTTTCTTTTACTAGACTTCCAGATGATGGATACTTACAGGTTCAAGGAGATAACTTATAGTTGGTAAGTTTCAAACTTGCCTACAAATGGATTCGTTTTGACTACGAAAAAAAAATTTTTCTCGTGCAAAAAAAAGTAAACTCCATGCATACGTATGGTGTTCCTACTTTGCTAGATCAGTGTTGGTTTCAGGAAAAATCAGTTGAAACAGTGGTCACTGTTACTAAAATTACCATCATAACGTTATCCGGGAAAATGAGTTTTACAGTCCTACGACGATTGTATTAGGAGCGTTAATTCCTATTTTTTAGAACATTTCCAGCAGAGCTCAAAAAATTAAACCTTTATTGAGTCTGATTATTTTAATTTTTGAAATTTTGCTGGTTCCCGTACAATAACCCACATACATATAGTCAAAACTTATTTCTCAAAAAAAAGCATGTTTTTACATAATTTATAAAAAATTACTAAATAATTACTAAAAAAACGTGTTAAAAAAAAAAAAATCATTCTAGTTACTATCTACCGTTGTAACCGTCCGCTCATTAATGTAAAGGCACGTTATCGGATATCCACTATAATGAACGTTGCTGCTCGCTTTTTCAAATTTCACAATCACACAAGTATAGTTACATACAACCACTTTCTGCGGCATAGGAAAACAAGATTAGCGATGAGTCAATAGCGATAGGCTAAAGAGAACCGACGAGTCGTGAAGGTCTGGAAAAAAAATTTTCTTTGATTTTCTAAAATTTGTAAAAACAATGGTAAACATTGACAACTTTTAAATTTTCTGGCGAAGAAAAAATAATACATCTTTTTTTTCTTCCAAGGGTCGTCAAAAGTGAAAACTTCGGAGTGAAACACGAGTCAGTAACCCCAATTCATCCACTTTTTTTGATTTACAGTAAAAGTTATAATCTAATTTACGTTGTAGTTTTAGAAAAACTGTACTTTTTATTATTTATAATATTTTTTATAGCCAAATTTCTACAGGGTAAATGGTGTTTCAATAGACTGGGCCATGGAACCTTCCATTTTCTGTACAGCGCCCCACATACATATTAAACTTAATTCTATAGTACTACAATGTGTGAGTGTAGGCGCCGCTACTCTGTCTGTACTGTACGTCTGTAGAGAAACGGTGTGAGAGAGGGAGAACATAGAAGAGAAACGGTGTGAGCAAAGTCGACGAAGCTATACTTACACTGAAGAAAAATTTCGTCATTACAAATGAACATTTAATTGGGTACGAAGAACAAAAACATTTATTTGAACGAAGTAGACGTTAACTACTCAAATGAAATAAATAATTTCTTTATAACGCAACATTTAGTATACTAATCGAAATATTTATTCAAATTTTCTTATTCAGTTTTTAAATTAACTTTTATTCGAATAGACGAAATTTTTCGTGTTGCTCGATAGATTTCTTGTTTTGACATGATTTTTTAATTTAGAATAAATTCTTTTAAAGAAACCAAGTGGTTTTGTTTTTAACCGGGAGTACGGTAACTTTTTTTTATATATAATGACAGTCGTGAACGTTGGATCGGTTTGTGGCCTTGAAAAAGGCCGATTTTGTGACTTTGTAAACATAATTAACCGCCGAAGCCGTAGAGAGTGCGTCCCTGTCTCTTCAATGCGTAGACCACGTCCATGGCAGTGACGGTCTTCCTCTTCGCGTGTTCAGTGTAGGTGACAGCGTCACGGATGACGTTCTCAAGGAATACCTTGAGCACACCACGGGTCTCTTCGTAGATTAGACCAGATATACGCTTAACTCCTCCACGACGAGCCAGACGGCGGATGGCCGGCTTGGTAATACCCTGGATGTTATCACGAAGGACCTTGCGATGACGCTTGGCTCCTCCTTTTCCCAATCCTTTACCTCCCTTTCCACGACCAGTCATCTTGGTGCAGCTAGAATGAAGTTACACTGAGCTAGTAGACCTGTATCGGATCTCTGATGCAAAGGGGACTCTGAGCCCCCCTTTTATAGGCTTCCTCGAAACTTTACCCTCTCTACGACTGTTCGATCGGCAACGGCCCCCCAAACTCCAGTCTCTCTTTCCGACCGGTTTTCAAACGTATAAAAAGGGGGCGCATCCTGGACCCACGCCATTCTCGACTCAACCGTTAGTTGCACCGTATTTTAGTTATTGTGACGACATGGCTCGTACGAAGCAAACGGCAAGGAAATCCACCGGAGGCAAGGCCCCACGAAAGCAGCTGGCCACGAAGGCGGCTCGGAAGAGCGCGCCCGCTACCGGTGGTGTCAAGAAGCCACATCGTTACAGGCCGGGTACAGTGGCCCTTCGTGAGATCCGTAGGTACCAGAAGAGCACTGAACTCCTTATCCGCAAGCTTCCGTTCCAGCGCCTCGTGCGAGAAATCGCCCAAGACTTCAAGACCGATTTGCGCTTCCAGAGCTCAGCCGTCATGGCTCTCCAAGAAGCGAGTGAGGCATACCTCGTGGGACTTTTTGAAGATACCAACCTGTGTGCAATCCACGCCAAGCGAGTGACCATCATGCCCAAGGACATTCAGTTAGCCAGACGCATCCGTGGAGAACGTGCCTAAATCATTCAGTAAAACAACCGGCTCTTTTCAGAGCCAACAAAAATCAACGTAGACTTCTACTTTTTAGTCATTATAACAGTTAAAGTGCGCGAATTCACAGATAACATAACTAGAAAATTAGCAAAATGCAGTGTTTTTAATAAATATCCCCGAGTGTGATAGAATTATTGTCAGAAAACATTGACATATTTAATGCGAGGTTCGTGTGTGGTTAAAAGATAAAATTACTCAGTTTTATTTTGTAAATGTTCGAGTAAGTGGTGGACAGTGGGTACAAAACTACGAATCGGTTACAAAAAAACAAATGACTGTTTCTAAAGTTAGATTTCCTAGTGTTGTAAGACTGACGATTTATTTAAGGAGATGTTGGATAACGTTGAAATAAAAAATTACGTACTTTTTAAGAACACTAGTTATGTTAGACCCGCCGTACGCTTTGATTATTTTGTTATTCGATTTGATTTACACTTACTAATTTTAATATAAAACCGAACAAAATAACTTTCCTGCACGAACGTAAGAAAAATTAATTTTTTTGGTACCTATTATTCGGATCCTTCCGTCAAACTAATAATTGTATCAACAATTTTTTAATTTTAGATACCATAACAAATACTTCAAGATCTTAGCTTCATAAAGTAATATAAGTACTAACTCTTAAAATGACAATTGAATTTAAACAAATCAAACGGAGTACTAAGTATCAAACTTCAGATAATTGTAACAACACAGATTAATTTTTTTATTTTAATTATTACTTCAATTTTAAGAAATGATATTTAAAATACTTTTTCCTTGTAAACCATTTGATCCATTTAAATGCAAAAATATTAATTATTTAGCAATCTTACACTGTGTAATTTTAATTATCAAACTATATTTTTTAAACTCATTTTCAAATTCACCTGCTCTTCGAGAATCTCTTCTAATCACAGAACGAATAAAAAAGCTTTAGTCACGTGACAATCAACCTTTTAACACAAGATGGAGGAAGAAGGATTATATGTGTGTATGAATTTTTTCAATAATTTTTTCAGATACATTTTCTAGATAAAACAAAAAAATTGAATTAATCTCACAATTAAACATAGATTCTTATGGAGGCCAGTAATGAAATTTGTACTCAAACTACCATTTAAATAAATCAAAGCTTTAAAAAAAATATCTTGTAGTTAAAAATAAATCTGTCGTACATACTGACAACCCCCGTCATCTACTCGCTTTGATTTACGAGTCCATCCTAATTGAATTATTCATAAATCACGGTAACGGAAGTATGTACGTCTGTTTGACGAACTACAGTATTACAGGTGGCTAAAGCTTGGTGGAGAGTGTACTGTTGTTGTCGTCATTAGCGTTGACTTCGTTGGCAATTACTGATGATAAACAGAGATCATTTCACAATTCTGAATGCGGCTTTTCAATTACGAGTCATGGAAGATCAATCTTGCAATTCATGCTTTACTATAACAATCATAACATACTCTACTCTAATACTAGAATTATGGAGAAGTAAATATTTTGTAGTGATTATGTCGGCAAGTTAACCCATTGATTAAAATAATATTCAATAATGTGAAAGCTGATTACTTGATAACTAATTTTCCGAATGTTTACTTAACGAAGATAAAATGAATGTATAATTATTTCTTCGTCACATTTTCAATGCATAATTTTATTAACTTCTATTTTTTGTGTGCCATGAAATAATAAAAGAGAATTGAATTTTACGTAGGGAATAGTGCAGTGTGCTTTTTCATGCGAATGACATTACATTTATGAAAAACCAGTGTATATATCAATTTAAATTAAATATTTTTTAACTAACAATTATAATTTCTGCCAGACATACCCGCATATACTTTTTAATGCTGTTGTATCAATAACACTTTTTTTTATAAAATTTAACGTTTTTTCGGTTTCTTCATAAAATATCCTGAAACGACGAGAAAACGCAAATTAATTTTTCAGGTGTTTCAATAGACTGGGCC